CCGGGGGCCCCGGCGCCCAGGGGGGCCCCCCCGGGGGCCCCCGCGCAGAGGCGCTGGGGGCCCCCGGGGGGCCCCTGGCGAGCTGGGCCGCCGAAGGCGCCGGAGACAGCCTCTGCAGCGAAGAGTCCGGGACGGAAGGCTCGGGGGAGGGGGAGGGCCTTTCTGCTGCAGCAGAAGTGCTGCTGCGGCTGCGGGAAGTGAAGGCGGGGCTGCTGCTGGCGCTGCAGCAGCGGCGGCTGGGCTGGCAGGTGCTGCTGCTGGCGCTGGACACGGCAGTGGAGGACTCGGTGGTGTCGGTGCTGCTGCCGCTGCTGTGTCTGTACACCCCGAGCCTCTTTGCTGCTGACCCCACACAAGCTTTAGCAGCAAATGCTTGGGCAGTTTCTTTCATTGCTGCTGGCAAGGCCGGGGGCTGCTTGGGGGGGGCCCTCATGGGGCGGCTGTGGAGGCCCCCCGAGACGGCCAGCCGCAGCAGCAGCTACCGCTTTCTCTTTTTGTGTCTCTTCCTGGGAGCTGCTGCGCTGCTGCTGATCCCGGGGGCCCTTTTGCTGCGCGAGCTGGGGGCCCCCAGGGGCCCCTGCGTGGCCCTCGTCTTTGCTGCTGCCTTCGTCTTCTACGGCTGCAGCGCAGCACCCAAGGCCGGCTTTGCTGCGCTGCTGCAGGGCCTCGTGGCTTCGCAGCAGCTCGCCTGCAACGTCTTCGGCTTTGTGGGCATGTTCGTCACTCTAGTCGATGCTGTTGTTATCATTTTCATCAACTCTTTGTTTGCCTGGCTGCTCCCCAGGGGCCCCCTCCTCGCAACAGCAGCAGTTGCCTTCATATTCCTTCTCCACGGCCTTCTCGAGGCCCTCTTGGGGCCCCTGCTGGTCCTCGCCCCGGACGAGGAGGAGCCGGGGGGCCCCCTGGGGCCCCTGGGGGGCCCCCTCGGGGGCCCCCTGGGGGGCCCCCTGGGGGGGCCCCCACCCACACTCGTAGAACGCACCCACAACAACCCCACACGCGCAGCAAGGGAAACAGACGGGCTCACTCCGCACCAGAGGGAGGCGCTGCTGCACAGAGAGGTCTCCCTGCCCTCCACTGCCTGCCCCAGCAACTAGCAGCAGCAGCAGCTGCTGCTGCTGCTGCTGCTGCTGCTGCTGCTGCGGCTGCGGAGCTGCTGCGCTGCTGCTGGGCGGCGGCGGCCCGGAGAGAGGGGAACACCCGAAGGGTCGTCACTCATCTCCTGTGGGACTTTAAAGTGGCTGATCATTGACGGGGAAGAAAGCAAAGGTGTAGCTTCCAGGGTTTAGGGTTTAGGGTTTAGGGTTTAGTCTTCAAGGTTTAGGGTTTGTCTTTGCTGCTGTACTGTTGGGCCGAATCTACGCAGAGGACTCTGTCGCAGCTGCTGCGGCGCTCCTCCGGCGGCCGTCAAGCCTTTAGAGCTGAAACGCTTTGAATCCTAGGTTTTAGGGTTTAGGGTTTAGGGTTTAGGGTTTAGTCTGGACGGTGTGGGGTCTGCTCTAGATGTTTCGGCTAGACGCTGCAGGGCGGGAATGCGGGGAGGGGCGTGGAGCCGGGAGACTAGGGTTTAGGGTTTGGGGTTTAGGGTTTTCTTGTGCATGGCGGGCTAGAGTTGCTGCTCCTCGCTACAGCTGCAGCTTTTGCTGCATCTCTAGCCCTCCCCAGTGATGCTGATTCTGCTGTTGCCGTTACCTCTCCACTGTGTGCTGCTGCAGCTAGCACTGCAGCCGTTGTTGCTCCAACTTGTGCTGCTGCAGCTCCAGCGTGCGCTGTTGTAGCTGTAGCAGCTACTGCTGCAGCTGGAACAGCTGTGAGTCACCTGTGCTGCCCCATATAGTGTAGCTCACTAGTTTCGCGATTTTATTTAATAGTTTTGCGTCCTTCATCACTATTGTACTTTAAAATGTCAAGTTGATCGGTAAATTCAATGAAATGAGGGGCGTCGTTGTGGAGGATGCGCAGCAGCACTGCGCGGACCAGTGGACCACTGAGCCAGCCCCGTCACCCTGGTCACCTGCAGTATTTTGTTTCCTTTTTGCTGTTCCTTTGTCTTCTGAGCAAAATATATTTGTTGTTTTGTCATATTGTGATATATATTTGTACTTTCTGGAGGTTTTTTTATCCCCTTTCCACTGACAAGCACCACCGTCTGCCGCCGACGGTGCTGAGGGCCAGCTACTACACCCGTGCCCGCCGCTTCAACTTCGGCGTTTCTCTTCGCTATTTTTCAGTTTTTCCATTCTAGAATTTGACCCTCCGATTTCTTTTGCTTTTAAAACTCCTCCTCGCCTGCACCTGCATGCGATACAGCAAAGGCAGAGCCGCTGACAGGCGCCCCGCGGCCAACTGCGGGCCCCAGTGGGGACCAGGTGATCTCACCGAAGCCCCAAAAGCCCTTTTGCCTTCTCCGTGTCTCTAGAAACAAGTGAAACATGTCGAGTTCTCCAGAAATTCCCCTTCAAGTGGGGTCACTGGAGGCGCCAAGCGGGGGCGGGGGCCCCTGCAGAAGTTCCCCCGGGGAACCCCCATCGCCTTTTCTCTTCGACACTGCCCAGTGGCCAGCCCAGTGGTCTCTAGCAAAAGGTAAAAGACAGCGCCGGCTGGGCCAGAGAGAAGAACAGGGGCCCCTCTGGGGCCCCCCTGGGCGTTTTGCAGAGGGGCCCCCAGACGAGGCACAGGAGATAGTAGAGCCAATGACGAACGACACGAAAGCAAAACCTGGGCTAGGAGGGAAAGCATGCCTTAGGGCTGCAGTAGACAATGAGACAGAGAAGAGGTTCAGCCAACAGCAGCAGCAGCAGCAGCAGCAGCAGCAGCAGCAGCAGCAGCAGCCGATACTGCTGAGTACCGCGGCGGCGTTTCACCCAGGGCAGCAACACCACAGAGGCACTCAACTTCAATTCACGAGCCTCAGCAGAAGCAGCCGCAGTAGCACCAACAGCAGCAACAACAGCAGCAGACGCAGAAGGAGTTACGCCAGCGGTGACAGCGGCATATGCGAGAGCAGCAGCAACTGCAATAGCAGCAGCAGCAGCTGCAGCAGCAGCAGCAGCAGCAACTGCAGCAGCAGCAGCAGCAGCAACTGCAGCAGCAGCAGCAGCAGCAACAGCAGCAGCATCAGCGTCAGCAGCTCCAACAGCAGCAGGGCGGCAGGAGGCAACAGGAGCATCAGCCTCAGCAGCAGCTGCGGCTCACAGGCTAGTCCCTGCAGCAAAAGGAACTACAGCAGCAGCAGCAACAGCTGCAAAACATCTTACCCATTACACCAGAAGAAAAAGCCGCAGCTGCAGCAGCTGGTGCTAGTGCAGCACATGCAGCAGAAGTCTTTGTACCTGATGCAGAAAAAGGATGCCACACTACAACAACAGCAGCACCAACAGCACCAGCAGCAGCAGCAGCAGGAGAGAAATAAGAATCAGCTACAGCGACCAAGGCAACAGCAGCAACCAGAGCTGCAGCAGCAGCTACAGCAGCAGCCGCTGCAGCAAACCAGCGGCAGCAACCAAGATGGGAAAGGACCTGAAGCCCTCAGTCCTCACTCTGCCGCTGTGGGGCCTCTCCCTAATAGGGGGCCCCAAGAGGGCCCCCCCCCTTTGAGTTCCAGTCAGAGCTCTGCTGCTGCCTTCTCAGCTATTTCTCACTTGAGCAGGTGCAGCATTATTCCTAGCACAAGCAGTGTCAGCAGCAGCAGCAGCAACAACAACAACAGCAGCAACAGCAGCAGCAGCAGCAGCAACAACAGCAGCAGCAGCAGCAGCAGCACGGAAGTGCCGAAAGTGGCCTCATACTCCCTGCGCATCCCAACACATGAGTGTAGGGGAGGGGGTCCTGGGGGCCCCCGCCGGGTCGCAACTGCCATTGAGAATGAGGGGCCCCCTAGCTCTGTGCAAAAGCCCGCGGTGCAGCAGCAGCAGCAACAGCAGCAGCAGCAACAACAGCAGCAGCAAGCGAAGCGGCACCGAGTGCTGCAGCAGTTGCACCAGCCTCAGAAGGATCAGCAACACCAGCAGCAGCATCCACACAGTTTTGCCTTGGCAACTTCATTGCGAGAGGCCTCACCGCGCCAGGAGGGCCCTTGGGGCCCCTTTGGGGGCCCCCCGGGGGGCCCCCAAGGGCGCCCCCTGGAGGCCTCGCCAGAGGGTTCAGCGCCACCTGCAGATGCAGCAGAAGAGAAAGGCTCTACGGAAAAAGACAAAGAGGGTTGGAGGCCTGACCCTGCAGAGAAGTCTCCTCCCTTGAAGGCCTTTGGCACCTTTGTTGCTGCAGTGAGAGGCCCCCAAGCAGCAGCTGAGGGGCCTCCAGCTGCTGCGAGTTCCCAGAGGACCCCCCAAATGGCCCCGCCGTTATCAAATGGGTGGGAGCGCTTACTGGAGCAAGAGGGCCAGAGGGAACCCCCAATTGAGGGGCCCCCCGAGGGGCCTCCCGAGGGGGCCCCCGAGGGGCCCCCTCCAGTTGCCATTGTGCGCTGTGCCGTTTGCTGCAGGGGCCCCACATTTGCTGCTGCTGCAGTCTGCTCGGGGGCCCCCGGGTCCTTACAGGTCTATCAGAGGCCCCTGGCCTCCCCTGGAGCAATGCCCGTAGCTTTTGTTGAAGCATTTCTAACCCTCAAGGTGTTGTCGGGCTCTGCCAAAACCCTTAACCCTAAGTTCAAAACGCTTAGCCCTAAACCCCAATTAACAGTCTTCTGTTGCTCTACTTAGCAGCCGCAGAAAATTGCAAGGCGGGAACTTGCTGTGGAAAAGATCTAAGATCATTTTTAACTCCAAGGGTTTAGCGCGGAGAGATGAGGGCTAGGGTTTAGGGTTTAGGGTTTAGGGTTTAGGGGCTGTGTACGCGCAGCGCCAGATGAATGCCAGCCTCTTTTCAGAGGGTTTTGCGGGGGTCACTTGGACTCTTGTCTTACCGACAAAAGTCCCTTATGCGGAGAGAAAGTAACTTCGCCCCAAACCCTAAGTCCTGGTTCTAAACCCTAAGACCAAAGCCCTAAACCCTAAAACCTAAACCCTCAGCCCTATAACTGCAGCTGGGACCCCTTGGTGCTGCTCTTAGTTGCGCATCTTAAATCCCCTAAGACCCTTTTAGCTGCTTCTGCAGCACTTTCTGCAGACTGCTGCTGGAGGCCCTAGCAGCCGAGGATCAGGGGCCCCTGGGGGCCCCTCAAGACGGGGGCTCTCCAGGGGCTGTTTCTTTGAGGTACTTGCCCAAGAGGGAGTTCACTTCTTCTAGAGGTCAGACACGGCGGGACTGTAGTGTGTAGGTCCTAGGGTTTACGGTTTAGAGCATACGGTTTAGGGTTTAGGGTTAAGGGTTTACGGTTTAGGGTTTAAGGTTTAGGGATTGAGGCTCAAGACTTCGCGTTTAGTTCTTGAAGCTCAGGAATGGATCAGGTCTGCGTAGACACGCCAGAATACCAGGGTTCAACGGCTGCAGTTTAGGTTTATGTTTAGGGTGTAGGGTTTGTGGATTGGGTTTAGGCTAGGGTTTGGGGTTTATGGGACCAGAGATTAGGGTTTGTCTACTCAGGGGCGCACTGGCTGCAAAGCACTATTCCTGGCCTTCGATTCAGCAACAACGGAGATAGCAGCCACTCTGTGAGAACTCTGCTGAGCCCTAAACCCTAAACCCTAAACCCTAAACCCTGGCTCGGCCTGGTGCTGACTGCAATTTTTTATTAGCATTTGTCTCTGCAGATAGAGGGCCTCTCTCAGGAAGCCTTAAGGTGGGCGAGTTCTGACGTTAGAGTTTATTGTCTAGCTCCGAGGATCTAGAGCTCAGGAACTAGGGTTTACGGCCCAGCAGCTAGGGTTTAGTGCCCGCAGCTAGGATTGAGCGTATAGAAATTAGGGTTTAGCGCCCTGCAGCTAAGGTTTGGCAGCCGCCCACATGCCTTCGCAAAGGGTGTTTGGCGGCAGCATGCTGTGTCTGCTGTTTGCAGCGCCGCTGGAGCCTTGCTGCTTCATCTCAATGTAACTCGTAAACCCTAAACCCTAAACCCTAAACCCTTGGCCCTAAACCCCGGAGCGCGGACTCATCTCTGTGCCTCTCGAGCTGTTTGAGCAGAGAGACGCACCCGAAGTCCGAGAAGGCATTTACGAGGTTTCGGAGGCCCTGCTGGGGGCAGTACGTAAGGGTTTAGGGTTTGGGGCTGAGGGTTTAGGGTTTAGCGACTGCAACATTCCCCCCAGAGAAGGAGACTCAGCGGTTGGGCTTCACGATCTGCTGCGCTGTACGCTGCAGCAGTTGAGCGTCGATGAAATTACTCTACGGGGGCTTGGAATCTGGGGGTAAGCACTGGGGCCCCTGAAGCTCTTTTAGAAGGCCATGAAGGGGCCCCTTGGCAAGGAGGCCCCAAGTGGGGCCCCCTGGCTTCCGGGGCCCCCCTCAGGTTTTCGGTGCCCCTAGGGCGGCCCCAGGGCCCCTTCGGGGCTTTGAAAACAGCAGCTAGATCTCTTATCCCTAAACCGTTGGCTTCAAGCCCTAGGCCCTAGGCTGAAAACCCTAGAGGCCTTGCGCTGCAGTGCTGCTTGCGGCTCTCTGAAGGTGCTGTGAGCTTATGAACCTAGGGTTTAGGGTTTAGTCGCTGCTGCTGCTTCGTAGGCCTCCCGCTGCTTCCCAGAAACATCAGCGCCCTGGCTCAGGTAGCTCTCTAAACCCTAAATTCTATGGGTTGCTGGTTGCGCGGAGCTGTGCCTGTGGCAGTGAAGGTTTAGCGCCGACGTATCCTGGACCGTGGGTTGAGCGTTTAGGGTTTAGGGTTTAGGGTTTGGAGTCCAGGGTCTAGTGTCTAGGGTTAAGAATTCAGGGTTTTAGTCAGGCCTTGGTTTGCTGCTGCCCGCCTTCAGACAAACCCGGGGCCCCGAAGTGGCTCGCAGACGAGTGGTGCTCTTTAACAAGTGAGGGGCCCTAATTCAGTTTAGGTTTTGTGGTTTAGGGTTTAGGCTTTTGCTCTTCGATCTAGGGTTTAGTGCATATGGATTAGGGTTTGGTTTTTGAGTGGGGTTGGTGTGATGCAGGAACGACGATGGGCCGCCGCACGCTCCTCTCTTGGATTCTCTCGGTCCTGCTGCTGCTGCTTTTGTTACTGCTGCCGCAGTTGCTGCTGCAGTTGCTGCTGCCCTTGCTGCTGTGCCTGCTGCTGTGGCCACTCGTTCCTTCAGCGTGTTTCTCGTGTGGACCGAGGTGCTAGGGCCTAGGGTTTGGGGTCAGGGCTTCTTGTTTTGTCAGTGCGGCTTTTCTCTCTTTCCTTCTCAGCCAACAACTGACCGGCGGATTCTGCAGGCAATGACTCAAGCACTAAACCCTGAGTCTTAAACCCTAGGCCGTAAATATCAAACCCTTATTATTGCACCAGCGGTTCCTCCTCCACCCGTTAAAGCCTAAACCCTAAACCCTCAACTTTAGGTGTTGCCGCTTCTACGCAGGCGCGGCAAATGGCTGTGACACTCTGTCTAGCCCACCTTCCTGCCCTCACTAGCGGTGCGCCATAGGAGATTTAGGGTTTAGGTTTGAGGGTTTAGGGTCTACACTGCACTGTTATTCTCGTTGATGCCTCTGACGAGATGATGCGCGTTTTAAAGGCCAGGAGTTCAGGCTTTGTTGCTGGGGTTTAAGCTCTCGCGTTTAGGGTTTAGGGTCTGCGGTCTAGGGTTTAGGGTTTACGCCTTATGCATCTCTACAGATAATTTTACCCGCGCTCTGAAAGCTGTGAAGGTAAATGAGACGCTGGCCCATACGCTAAGCCTTAGGTCACCAGCGCACCGCCGCCGCAGCTAACACTCGCGCAAACCGTAAACCCTAAACCCTAAACCCTAAACGCTAAACCGTAAACCCTTTCTTTGATGTGAATTCCAGGAAACTTCGCGCGTCACTTACTTTATTAGACAAAGCGCCACGCTTGCCTGGACCCATGCCAAGCATATACTTAGTTTCTGTAAGACCTAAACCGTAAACCCTAAATCCTAAACCCTAAACCCTAAACGGTTAAGCACAGCATCCCGTTCTACATTTTATACGCCAAACTCCAACTTCGTAGCTCTTCACAAAAACAGCTCATTTCACCGGGAGTCTGCTACTGGGTGTTTAGGGTTTAGGGCTAAGGGTTTAGGTTTTAGGGCATGAGGTTTAAAGTTTTCGGCGTAGGTACTGCAACTGAAAACCTTTGTCTGTTTTTAAAGGAGTGCCCGAAACTTTGCGAGATCGCAGCAGTCAGTTGTATCCTCCAGTGTGAAGATGGTGTCAGCCAAGGTAAACTCTAAATCCCCAAGCCCTAAACCCTTAAGCATAAACCCTGCATCGAAAATCTAGCCGTTATGCCCCCTGCCCGATATTAGCGAGAACGCGTCACATCAGCGCCAAAGCTGCAAACCCAAAGAGCCATCAAACCCCAGACCCTAAGCCGCATGATGGACTGTCTTTTTGATGCACAAAGTCTAGGGTTTCAGTCTTCGCGCTTAAGGCCAAGCGTTTAGGGTTTAGGGTTTCAAGATTGCGCTGTGCGCGCAGTTCGACATGTGCTGGAGAGCCGCCTGGACCTCTCCAAATGCAATCAGTGTTCCGAGTCCGTGGCTTGCATTTCGGCCGAAGGTCTAGGGTTTAGGATTTAGGGTTTAGGGTTTACGCATTTATGCTTTTGGGTGTTAGGGCGTAGGGTTTTAAGCTGATGGGCTGGCGGATGGTGCATGTTTCGTGACAGGCTGACTCTCTTGCCCACAGCAGAAGAAGACGAACTAAAGGTATGCGGGGAGCTCAGCTTCAGAACCTAAGTCACAAAACCCTAAACCCTAAACCCTCGTCTCTTAACCCTTAAGCGTGGCCTTTGGCTGCCAGATCCCCTACATGAAATACGATTCCACAGGACATATGCAGCGCTCAAGCGCTACGGTTTAACGTCTAGGGATCAGGATTAAGGGTTTGGGATATACGGCTTAGGGTTTAGGGTTTACGGGATGCCTGGCGGTTACAGGAGATGAGTGAATTTGTAGGGAGCACTGAGTTTCTCCAAGCGGCTCACCAACACTTCTTAGAGGCAAGACAAACCCCAAAACCAGAACACTAGCCCCAATGTCTCCTGCGTTGCACACAGGATTGGTGTATTCCGAGGGTTTGGGGTTTGGGGTTTAGGGTTTATAGCGTTTCTACGTCTGTTGGGATTGCAGGAGTTGGATACAAAAAAGGAAGATATGAATTACGCCATTCCTCCCGGTGCATCTTTCATTGCATCTTACTACGCAGGCAAGGCCCTTCAGGCTTAAGAGCTTAGGATTTAGGGTTTAGGCTCTGGGGTTTAGGGTTTCCGGCTCAAATTGTGTGTCCCGATTGCCGCGCCCCAGGCCTACTGCTGTACATCCACCGCAGCGTGCCTCAAGCAAACAACAAAGTGCCACCCTCGGACGCATTTCATTTTGCCTTCTTTGATGACGGCTATGTGGGGTCTCTCGAAGCCTTAAATCTATTGTGTCCTAAACCCTAAACCCTAGACCCTAGACGTTGAGTCCGAGACCCTAAGTTCCAAAGCTTGAATTCACAGTGAAGCGCTGCCTTCCGCTGCGCTCCTCAGGCTGCCTTCCAGAATTCGCGAGACAAATTCTTCAATTGGAGTGGTACCTATAGGGTTTAGGGAGAAGGGTTCAGGAGTTTAGTGTTTAGAAGCCAAAGCTCAAATGTTACTAGGGTTTAGGGCTTGCTGCTGAGGGTCTCCGTTGTTGAGGGTACCAAATACACCACAAGGCTGAAGCGCAAGGCAAACCCTAACAGCCATTTCACCTTTTCGGGCTTAACTTTGAGCCCTAGAGTGCCGCCCTTGAAACCTGAACCCTAAGCCCTAAACCCTAGAACCTAAAACTGTGGCTGCTACGCAGGGTTGGAAAACCCTCATCGGAAGCTTCACTGGTACAGGTGGAGTGCGGCCAGAGCCCTCTGTGCGGATGTCATGAAGCATCTTCACCACTTTAAGCCTGCCCGTACATCCAGAATCCTAAGCGCTAAACACTAAGCCCGATTCCTCAAACCCTACACCCTAAACTCTAAATCGTAAACCCTGGGCTCCGGGAAAGACACTATGCTTGGAGGTTACATTAGGTCCTAATGGGAGTTGCAGTGCCGTGGTTGCTGCTGACTCCGCTGCTCGCCAACTGCGGCAGCTTAATCCAGGTGGTTTTGCTGCTGCTGCTGCTGCTGCAGCAAAACCATCTGGCTGCTGCGGCTGTCGTTTCGAGGCGCTTCTCACAGCATCTGCTGCTATGTCGCTGCTGTTGCTTGTACTGCTGTGCTGCTGCTGCTCTGCTGTGCTGCTGCTGCGCTGCTGTGCTGCCGCTCGGCTGCTGCGGCTTTATACAGAAGCTGCGATTGGGGAGCTGGATGCCCTACTTGCCCTCGCCCGCTTGTCCGTGAGGCTTAGGCCCTAATTGCCAATCCCGCGTCTTTCTGTTGATTGTTCCTCATGTCTTTGTTATCTTTGGGTTTTAAGCATTAAGACCTTAGGGTTTAGGGTTTGGCGCTCAATGTTTACTCGTGTGGAAACACAGGAAGATCCCTCCTGGAGTGCACCTGTGTTTGGGGGGGTCTCTCTCGTCCAGCTTCGGCAGTGTCATTTAGGTGGCAGTTTCGAAGAGGGCTTTATGCCATTTTCCTTTAGGCTGCAGCACAAACAGGTCTTGACGTTAAATCCTAGGCCTTAAACCCTAGTCCTAAACGCTAAACCCTACACGCTGAAGTCCGCTTGCATTGGGACCCTCATCACTGCGAAGCGTTTCACTGAAGTAGACACTTAGCCACTTAGCAGCGTTGCTGCAGCAGCAAACGTCACACTTTTGACTCCAAACCCTAAATCCTGAACTCTAAGACCAACAAAGTGGCACTAAAACAGCTAATACTACGCATGTCTTGCTGCTGCCTCTCTTTTTTCGCTGTTGCAGTCTGCCGTGATTTCAGGTGGGAATCTACGCATAGTGACGTCCAATCCAGAAGTAGTCACTATGCCTTTAAACCCTAGACCCTGAGCCCTGAACTCTTAACAAGTAACTCTAAACCCTAAGCTCAACTACTTGCATGCTTGGTGGCTGCTTCAGGACAGAACGGCTGCGGGAAGTCAAGTAAGCCGCACGCTGCGACAGCAACAGCGCTGCTGCTGGCGCTAATGTTTTCGCGTCGAGCCTACTACTGCTGCTGCTACTATTGCTGCTGCTGCTACTTGTGCTGCAGCACTGTTGCGGGTCATTGGAGTGGCTATACACCTGGCCCACATTGGTTCAAGGGTCCCGTCGGCTTTTGCCGGCTTTGGAAAAATCCACAGGCTTCGCTGGAGCTCCTCCGGTGCGACTCTCAGTCAAAACCCTAAGCCCTAATTCCTTAACTTTAATTGCGTAGCCCGTTTCCCAGAAGCGTAAGCCTTCATTCTGAAGTTGAAATCCCACGGTAAGACCTCGTGCTGCACGACATTCTGTGGCGTGAACGGAAACGCGTTTTGGCAAAAGAACTTGTGCTGAAGTCTGCCTGATGTTCAGCGCTTAGGGTTTAGGGTTTAGGGTTTAGGGCATCGGTTCCACAGTTTGCGCACAGCGTGCGAAGGGCTGGTGCCAGGCTTCTCAAGCTTCCATTGCGAGCTCTTCCGCCTCAGCCAAATCCTGAGGTGATGCCGAATTGCTGCTGCTGCTGCTGCGTTTGCTGTTCAATCCTCCCCTGCTGCTGCCTTATTATCGACTTGTTGCTAAGGCGCTTTACTGGAAAATGCGTCTCTTGTTGCTGCTTTTCGTTTCGTGAAGAAATTTCCCCCAGCAGTCAAAAACCCCAACCTTTGAGCTTACACTCAGCCCTAAACCCTAAACCCTAAACCCTAAGCCCTAATCGCTACGGCTCAAATGTTCGGATTTGTGAGTACCTACTGTGGCTCCAGAGACGGCTTAGGAGGCACCCTGCTGCTTATGGATGACTTCGTAAGTACAGGAAAACCGCTGCAGCGCTCTTGCTTTGGGGATTGAACAAAAGCATTTGGGATTTGCCTTTCTGCGGCTGTTTCAGGGTGCCGGCACAAGACATCGTGAGGCAGGGCTTTACAGCAACTCTGCAAACCTTAAGCCCTAAACGTTTTCATTTAATCAGAGACTGCAGAAATAGGGAAGAGGGGTGGAGGTTAAGGGTTTAGGGTTTAGGGTTTGATGCTTGAGAAGGAGAGTCTGGATCCGCAGCGGACGGCCAAGCTCTTTTGTATGGGGCACTGAAATATATCCTCAATTCGAAGTGTCTCCAGGTGAAAAGCGCCAAACCATAAACCTCCAGTGCCTGGTCATAAATATGTACCATGGCTACCAAACCCTACACTGCAAAGCATAGATCCTGTGTGCCTTCTTAGGGTATCTGGACCATAAGCTCCGCCCACCCTGTGCTGGCGCAGCGCCTGGAAACCCTTAACATTCAGACAGGACTGGTGCTGCTGCAGCACCTAGAGGCAACAACTGCAGGGGGGCCCCCGCAGCCCCCAGGAGCCCCTCCAAGAATTTGCCGTCTCGTGCCGCTCTTCACCCTCGGCCCCGGTGATATGCAAACCCCAAATGCTGGGCACTCAGTTTCTCGCCAACAGTTAGGCCGTCAGCTTAGAATTCAGGGTTTAGGCTTTAGGATTTAGGGTTTACAGGCTGCTGTTTGCTTTCGCCACAGGTCTCCGAGGAGACCACCACAGTCTCAGCATCGTGAATGCAACTGCACTCCCAGAAAGTCAGGTTTGATCTTTAGGGTGTAGTTTAATACCGGCCTTTGATATGTTAGGACTGACGATTTACCGCTGTTTGTGTAGGGCTTGCGCTTCAAAGATCTCTCTAATCCCTGACATTCTAAAGCCCGTGGTAAAGAGCTAGACCCCAAACTTTCCGCAGTAAACCCAACTGTCCGCTTGTTTCTGCCCAGTTTTTTCCTGCACAGGGGTTTGCGCGAGGGCTGCGGCGATTTTCTCTAGTATTTCAATGCAACGTCATATTGATGAAGAGGATGCGCAGGTTTGTTTAGATATTAGGGTCTAGGATTTGGGGTTCTGGTATGCAACGGAGGGTTATAGTGCAGGGCTTGGAGCACAGGCCTCTATCTTACTGCTTCTCATCTGAAGCGGCAGTTCAGTTGGACGAAGACAAGGTCAACTGATGATGTGCTGATGCAAATGCTGATGCTTGTGATATTTGTGTTGCTGCCGTTGCTGCTGCTGTTGTTGATGCTGCTGCTTCAGGGCTGTGTGTGGTCACGGGATCCTCCCGCTCCTCAAAGTGTACAGCAGGAACGTCTGCTGTCTCTGTTGCAGCTGGCAGCAGCTGCAGACACAGCAGTAGCCCAACCCGAAGCAAACATTCACCGTGTATTTAACCAAATAGCAACGGCCCTGAAAAGACTCGAGGTCCTTGGCAGACTGTCCCTGCACGCGCCGCTTTACACAGATGATGAATGAACCGGGGGAACAGACCTAAAACTCCTAATTTGAATGCTAGCTCCCAGGTAAACTCAGAACTCTAGAGCGCACCTGGCAAGCACTCAGCAGCTATCAAATGAGCTGCGCGTGCTAGCTCCCAGGTACACTCAGAACCCTAGAGCGTAGCAGGTGAGCACTCAGCAGCTATCAAAGGCGCTGCGCCTACTGAGCGGTAACTTCTGTGCGCTTAAAACGGCAAAACATTTGAGGGTCCGGAGGTAGCGCCTGAGCCGAATTTGCGGCTATTAGTTCAGGGCTTCAAGCTCATGGCTAGACTCTCGAAACCGGAACTGCGATAATCCCTACAGAAATGAGGTTTCACGGGGGATCATTTTGTCCTTCAGAAGCGCTGGGGCAAGACTAGTTGCTTACTGGTCACAACGCCCCCTACGCGCGAGAGTGCCCAATCAGTACCTCCAAATATACCAGTTACGCCTAGCATCACCTTACTGGTAAGCAGTTGCAAAGCCACGAAAATCTTCGAGCAAACGAACTCAGTAACAGACCGGAAGTAAAAGTATGGGACGCATTTGCTCTACAAGTGAGCATCACAACCGCATTATGTGCTGCTCATTTACAACTAGAAATTGGAACGAACTGGAAGCAACTTAGTTTGAAGCCCCAAATGTGAATTAATATTACTTTCTACTCAGTTAAAAAGTGCAGATTCTTACTTTTCAACGCTCCTCCATGTATGTGGATTTATACATGTACATCCCTTTAGATCTGTTGAGGGCAGCAGCGGTTACACAAGCCTGGCTTCCTATATCAGATTTGTGCCAAACCAGAGTTGCATTTTCGAAAGAATGTTGCGCAGAATGTGGAAAACGGTCCGTTTCGCGGTGCCAAATTTGGGCCTCTTAAGGCTGTTTTAGGAGCACTCCACAAGCCTTTTCACACTACAGCCCCAAAGCCAGCCCGCCACAGCTGTGGGCCACACGTCTTTTGCGTCAAAAGCTCATGAGCTGCGCATCTTGTTTCTGCACATTACTTCGCAAAGTCAATACTCGTGCGTCAGCCGCTAAAGGCCCGATAAACAACTAGCAGCAACGACACTGCATTGGCTTTCTAGGCACAAATTTATGTTGCCTGTATAATCATGCAGTGTAATCCTCTGCTTCTGCTGCGTGGCATTCCCACCATTTCCTTGTTTACCGACTTGCTCATTGTCATTCCTGTAAAAAGTAGACCGCTACGATGTATCTTTCTTCTTATCTGCCGACCTACTCCTGGCCCGTGCATGCAAGAAACAGGACCACGGACACTCTACATCGCAAGAGTCAAATGACAATAGCAGCAGCATTAAAGCGTCATTTTCCTCTAGCAATGTGCTACATGGTGGCTGCTGCACATTACGGACTCATTGTTGCTAGGCTGTTTCTGCGGCTCTCATTGCGCCTTCGTATCCTCTACACGATATGATGTGAACGCGTAAATTGTGTAAATAGTTTTCATAGTATAATTCTTAAACAGCCACCGTTGCAAGCGCATTTTTGTGGAAATTGCTCCGCTGGTGGGAATGCGGGGTCGTGTACATACGACCACCGGTGAACTCTGCAAGCACTGTACTCTTAACTGCCTTGGAATGTTGGCTGAAAAGCGCACGTTTATGCATGTTATAGTTTATTGCAGCACGCGATTTCAACTGCACACTCCCAGCACTGAAAACGGCAGCCAACAAGGCTGGGCTCTTTAACCTGCTGCGCCGGGACTGCAGCAAGTACAGCAGTCCCCCACGACCAAAGGAGCAGTACTCGAAATATACCCTTCAGAAGGCTATCTTCAACAGCCTCAGTCGCAACCAAAAGACCCGAAAGCACAAATTCTTCCACTTCCACATCATTGAATTAAGACTGAAGTTACTAGTGATGAGTACGGAATGCTCCGCCACAAACAATACATTTTTCCACGCGTTTCACACATGCAAACCCCTATTATCTGGCGTCCGCAGCTAATTGGTGCAGTGTTTCTTTGAAACATTTTCTCGCATTTTGAGCGGTCGTGAACGTGATCTCGACTCACACCCATGAACAACGGCTATTGAACGGCGCACAATAAGTATTGGATCTGAGCATTCGCATCAATCTAGAGTCAACCCGCGCAAATACAGTGTCAAGAAAATGAGACCTGCGCCAACTTGTCTAACTGTCGTTGCTTTACTGTTGGCGTCCGCATCAAGCGTGGGCTGCTCCGTTGCAAAACACTGTATAGGCCGCACTACCACCTCTGCGCAAAATCAAGTGAATACGTAGTTTGTTCTGTGCCTCGAATATCAACAAAAGCTTCAACAGAAAGTCCATCAAAAAACAATAAAAGTATGTAGAGACAGTCCAGGTGCCTGAAATCGGCCCCAGTGTTGAACACATTTGTTGCTACCCCTTTTCATAGACCAACCCCACATAAGTGCAACACTGCCACTCGTTTTCCATTAAGTCTGGCCACTGAGCGCCGCTTTGCAAGTTCTGTGTTGGGCAACTGCATGCCATTTTCGTCGGCTTCTTTGTTGCCAACGCACACTACAACCCAGCCCAAACCCCAAATTCAAGAAAACCAAACGCCTTAGTCGCCGAAATGACGAAGCCGTAACACGAGTCACATGCCCACGAATAGTAAGCTCAGTATTGGGTAGCTGCATGCCGCCTTTGCACGTCTCTGCGCTGTCAACGCACACTACAACC